AATTAAAACTGAAAAGAAAAAAGTCACAGCGAAATAAAACTTAACTATAATAAAAATCCAAAACTATTATAACCTTGGTTATAAGAAGCAGGACAGTTAGCCAACAGGATCAAAACACTAGCTAAAATTAGAAATCTTTCATCTCACACACAGGAAGTCTTGCTTCGGAGATGCAAAAGCTCAGAAATCACGGGGTAAAAGTGCGAAGCTTAGCCCCCAGAAGTCCGAACTCGAGYCCGGTTCTCCCAACCAAAGAGAGCTGCGCAGTAAGGAAACCCCCGAGAAGATGATCACGGTCCGGTCGAGTCCGGACAGTTTGCTCCCGTGCAAAGAGGAGCCGGAGCTGAGCTGCCAGATGGAAGACCTGCCCTTCATGTCGACCACAGAGATGTATCTGTGTTGCTGGAACCAGCCTCCGCTCTCCCCTCTGCGGGAAACTTCCCCTAAAAAGGAGGAAGAGGTGGCCAGTGAGTGGACTCCCCATGTAGTACATGATATGCTGATTGTTTGTAAGCCTAACCTGTATCCCAACTTTAAACACGTTACTCATCAAATCCACCGAACACATCGTCTGTGAATAACTTCCTTTTCTTCTCTCCATCCAACAGTTCCCTCTTGGAGGGAAAACTGCATAGAGCCCCTGGATGAGGACTCTTTGTGTGAGGTGAGACACATCCGAATAATAAAGGAATTCATAATATTAAGGTCGTCGAATAACTTTTTCTACTTTGCTCTTCCTTAAAGCCGCTGGACGACGGCGTGTTTTTGAAACGCCACGCGAAGCTGGAGTTGGATGAGAAGAGGAGAAAAAGGTACAAGCACAGAGTTGGAAGTGAATTTGTTCAGGATTAGAGTGGCTATTTTCTGTCTGTAAGAGTCAACCTGACCCAGAGTACAGAAGGTGACATTGTGTGCACAAAGACTGATATTTAAGTCGAATAATGAACGTATCAGAAGTTTGAGCAGTAAATTATAAAAGGGAAAATAAAACAACCGAGTGTGTGTKTGTGTGTGTGTGTGTAGGTGGGACATCCAGCGAATCAGAGAGCAGCGCATGTTCCAGCGTCTGCAACAGCGCATGAACAGGAAGAAGGTCGTCCAGGAGTCGGAGCCGGAGCTGTCCTCCTTCTACCCCGACACAGAAGACGGTACGGCTGCGGGGTTGAGGGTTCAAATCCTGRGTAACACTGGGTTCTTAAACACGTTTTTTTTATCTCTTCCAGTCGAAGCTATAGTGATCACTCCGTTCCTGCCCGTGGTCGCGTTCGGCCGGCCGCTTCCCAAACTCTCTCAACAGTAAGTAATGAGAAAAAAGAGCTTAAAAAACTACAGTGCCTTTTTTAATATTATAAAGTTTAAAAAAGTAAGTTTTGTGTCTTTTGAGACAAATATTATTATTTAATACAACCTTGTTTTCTTTATTTGTCCCATCTTAACCACCTAAATAAAAAATCTTTAAAAATKCTTGTGTTTTTAATCACTTTTTGTCTTCAGGAACTTCGAGCTGCCGTGGCTGGACGACCGGAGCCGATGTCGCATCGAGGTGCCGAAGAAGCACACGCCTCATCGGACCTGTCGGAAGTAAAAACAAAACCAGCGGAGAGTTTCTGCTCAAATCGGATACATACGTTTTTGTTTTCACCTCATGGGGGGAGAAGCTCAACACGTCGCCACAGATCAGCTGGGTTTTTTTTTAAGTCGACGCATCAGCAGCCGTTGACCTGGGAGTTGGGGGCGTGTTCTGTAACATGTTTGAGATGTGTTTTGTTCAAGCTGTGCTTTAAAAAAAAAGGTTCAGATCACTCCAAGTTGCAGTTTTAATGATCTCATAATTGAGAAACCTGCATTCAGAGCGTGCAGGAGAAGCTATTTGTCATGGTTTTGACACAAAAAGCAGTTTAATCTCTTCTTAAACATTCAAGCTTGGTGTTCTTGCTGTGTGTAGCTTTAGCACGCTCATTCTCTCTGCTTTCGTGGACAAAACAGTCAAAATCAGACTACCGTGCTGTGTATCGGTCATAGTGTTGTTTGCACACAGATTTTAATAAGATTTTATCAATGTTCATTGTGATATTGGGGATTTGGAGTCAGCATGATTACATAAATACAAACATTTGTTGTAAGGATGCAATTAAACGACAGAAGAATGCTGGTTGGGCGTCAGCATGATGATAAAAACACGTCCAGGTGGCTCTAACCTCAGCGATCTGATCCCTGGTTTAGTTTTGGTTTTTATGTGWGCTGCATGGATTCTGTTAAAAACAAGATGGTAGCATGGCTTGACCCCAGAATGGAGAACTTTCTCTGCTCATTCGGGCTTCAAAATCTACAAAATATTCTAAGCATGACTTTTTGAAAAAAAAAAAAAAGTAAAATAAAAGTATAAAAAGCAGTTTTATTTTTTTTATTTTTTGCTGCTTTGCTCAGAACTGCAGGCTGAAATATAAAGTGTTTGTATTTCCGAGCTTCCATCCAGTAAAATGTTAGGCGAGTTGTGTGCACGAGACATTTTTAGATGATTAATAAGCTTTCTAGCTGTAGTTCTCTCTTCTTTCACCTGTTTGCTCCCAAACCTGTTGACCTGTTGATTTATTCCAGCAGGCAGTTCTTCCTCCTTCTGTTTGAGGCAACAGTTTTAAAAGAAACCACCAGGTGTCTCTAGAGTTCAGAAATACAAATATGTTTTTGTTTTCAACTGTACATAGCTTTCAGTTATAAAATGTACATAAAACATGGCTGTTATTTTTTTATTATTTAATGTTGGAAGTGTTCAGTACATTCAACATTGTTCTATAATTGTATGTTGACAGTTTTGAAAGTTTAAAAAAAACTTTTTTTTTGAATAAATCTAATGTTTATGATGCTTCATTGTCTATTTTTTCATTAAATTATTGATTTTATCTTGACTTTTGGGCAATGCGAGTTAATTCCAGCTGAAAATAGAGACGGTGAATAATCATACTTAATTATTTACTAAGAAAGAAAATGAAAGTTGCAGCAGCAGTTTGCTGTAGCCTACAATTKAAAGCTCTTACCTGTTATCTAAGTGTTTATGTTCTTACAGGGGTTGTGAAATATACATTTACTTTGGTTAAGCAGCTGGTTAATACTGATAGTATTTGTTGTTCAAAACCTGACATAAATATCTACGGTAGTAAAATACATTCACCTCCCTGAGGTCTTTGAAATTTGAAACTGAAAAATAAAAAAGTTTGAAACTGAAAATAAATGTTGAGTTTCAAATCTGTATTATTTAGTTTCAATATAATTTTTCAGTTTCAAAATAATTTTTCAGTTTCAAATATCCTTTTTTCAGTTTCAAAATGTTTTTCTTTTGAACAAAACTAATGGCCTCAAAAGAGCTCCATAGCGGTAAGTCCTGTGAGCCACAAAGTTTCCTCGAGCTTTTGATTTGTCTTTTCTTCATGACCAAACTGCTGCTCCAACAATCTCTAAATAACAGCTTAAGTTCTGGGCTTTGATCCAGAACATTTTACTGGTTCTGGAGTCTTAACGTTGCTAAAACGTACAATGACTTATTGACAAAAGGCCTAAACTCGCATTATACAGTTTTTCTTTTTAATATTAAYGGTAAATTCATGATGCTAGTCGTAATAACTTTAGAACACATTGATCTAAGAGACTTAAATGTTGATTTTCCTCCAATTCGGATCAAAATATATTTAAATCAAAACCAGGTCTCCWCTTGATCATATTCCTTTAAAACTTCACATTTGATAAGTAATTCACACAAGAAAGTGTTTGTCATAAAATAAAACCACACAAAGTCTTTTAAATCTGGAAAAATGTTTAATAAATGAAAACAAGTAAAAAAAAAACACCAGCGAGTCCTTATGAACATTCGGTGAAAATGCTGCTGATCTCAGAGTCGTCAGCAGAAAACATGGAGTCTTTTCCATCAYAGCTGAGGCAGATGAACAACCTTCTTTCTAATCCACGGTAAAACAAACCTGTCCGTATAGATCGTCTTCTGGCTGCCTTTATATCTAAATACCTTTAAAAATGCAGAAAATGTTTTAATGACGATAAAAAGTTCACCAAACCCGCCTCATGTACAAAATACACCAACACCCATGTGTAAATAATATAAAATTTGACTTTCTTTATTACCATCTTTTATTTGGTCTTTAAATATTTTTGTAATTAGTGTTTATTCAAACAATGAAAAACATGCCTTGAAGATTTAGTATTTACAGATAATGATATAAATGTTCAGACAATCTGTCATGTGGCAGAGTCTTAACGAGCTGAGAATTTGCAAAACCTAAGAATGAGAATCATTTTTGTAACACGAGTTTGTCTTTAATAAGATACAAAATAAATGAAACAAACTCGAACAGAAAGCCTTTAGAGGAGCCCGTCTGCTGCCGCAGCCTTTCGCTTCAAAACAAAGCCGGACACAAAGATGGGAGTATTTTTATATTAACATCAATGCCTCGGCCTCAGTCTCTGCGCAGGTTGTTCAGACGCTCCTCCAGGTCGGCGTCTGCGTCAGCCAGGGCGGCCTGCGGCTCGGCTTTCTTCCCTCCCGCCACCGAGAGGCTCCCCCCGGTGCTCGGAAGATCTGAAACCCAAAAACGATCCGTGTCAGTGGGGGGGTGAGGGAAAACAAAAAGTAGGCGAGCGATGACGCTGCGTTTTTCTTACTCGACAGCTCGTCGGACAGATTGAGGCCGAGCTCGTCCAGCACCTGGGACACGATGGCATCGCTGCACAGCAACAACAAAACACCACAGACAAAACAAACTGATGAAAAATGTTTTTTGTTTGTCAAATCGATTTGTGTCTGACATCTTTTAGGATATTTGTGACCTGTCACATCGAAGCGAGGATTAAGCCCAACAGTGGAGAAACAGGCAGAAATAGGGTTTAGATTTAAAAGTGTGCAAAAATTGCATTTTGTCAAAATGTAATGAATTAAAGCCTTATCAATGTATCATTTAAATGAACAGAAAATGTAATCATAAAAAAAAGAAAAATTGAAGAATTTTTTTGAGCAGTGGCAACAAAAAAAACTGATTTTGAGGACAAACGCCTTAAAATTTTGAATTTTTCCCTGTAAGTTAGCAAAGTTTTTGTTTCTTTCCATCTGGCTAAATCTTAATTTACAAACACTATTTAAGGTTTCCTCTTTATATTTACATACAAAATACTGAAATTTACATAAAAATAGGATTTAGACCAAATATTAATG